CATATAGATAGGCATGGTGATACACATTGATACATATAGATAGGCATGGTGATACACATTGATACATATAGATAGGCATGGTGATACACATTGATACATATAGATAGGCATGGTGATACACATTGATACATATAGATAGGCATGGTGATACACATTGATACATATAGATAGGCATGGTGATACACATTGATACATATAGATAGGCATGGTGATACACATTGATACATATAGATAGGCATGGTGATACACATTGATACATATAGATAGGCATGGTGATACACATTGATACATATAGATAGGCATGGTGATACACATTGATACATATAGATAGGCATGGTGATACACATTGATACATATAGATAGGCATGGTGATACACATTGATACATATAGATAGGCATGGTGATACACATTGATACATATAGATAGGCATGGTGATACACATTGATACATATAGATAGGCATGGTGATACACATTGATACATATAGATAGGCATGGTGATACACATTGATACATATAGATAGGCATGGTGATACACATTGATACATATAGATAGGCATGGTGATACACATTGATACATATAGATAGGCATGGTGATACACATTGATACATATAGATAGGCATGGTGATACACATTGATACATATAGATAGGCATGGTGATACACATTGATACATATAGATAGGCATGGTGATACACATTGATACATATAGATAGGCATGGTGATACACATTGATACATATAGATAGGCATGGTGATACACATTGATACATATAGATAGGCATGGTGATACACATTGATACATATAGATAGGCATGGTGATACACATTGATACATATAGATAGGCATGGTGATACACATTGATACATATAGATAGGCATGGTGATACACATTGATACATATAGATAGGCATGGTGATACACATTGATACATATAGATAGGCATGGTGATACACATTGATACATATAGATAGGCATGGTGATACACATTGATACATATAGATAGGCATGGTGATACACATTGATACATATAGATAGGCATGGTGATACACATTGATACATATAGATAGGCATGGTGATACACATTGATACATATAGATAGGCATGGTGATACACATTGATACATATAGATAGGCATGGTGATACACATTGATACATATAGATAGGCATGGTGATACACATTGATACATATAGATAGGCATGGTGATACACATTGATACATATAGATAGGCATGGTGATACACATTGATACATATAGATAGGCATGGTGATACACATTGATACATATAGATAGGCATGGTGATACACATTGATACATATAGATAGGCATGGTGATACACATTGATACATATAGATAGGCATGGTGATACACATTGATACATATAGATAGGCATGGTGATACACATTGATACATATAGATAGGCATGGTGATACACATTGATACATATAGATAGGCATGGTGATACACATTGATACATATAGATAGGCATGGTGATACACATTGATACATATAGATAGGCATGGTGATACACATTGATACATATAGATAGGCATGGTGATACACATTGATACATATAGATAGGCATGGTGATACACATTGATACATATAGATAGGCATGGTGATACACATTGATACATATAGATAGGCATGGTGATACACATTGATACATATAGATAGGCATGGTGATACACATTGATACATATAGATAGGCATGGTGATACACATTGATACATATAGATAGGCATGGTGATACACATTGATACATATAGATAGGCATGGTGATACACATTGATACATATAGATAGGCATGGTGATACACATTGATACATATAGATAGGCATGGTGATACACATTGATACATATAGATAGGCATGGTGATACACATTGATACATATAGATAGGCATGGTGATACACATTGATACATATAGATAGGCATGGTGATACACATTGATACATATAGATAGGCATGGTGATACACATTGATACATATAGATAGGCATGGTGATACACATTGATACATATAGATAGGCATGGTGATACACATTGATACATATAGATAGGCATGGTGATACACATTGATACATATAGATAGGCATGGTGATACACATTGATACATATAGATAGGCATGGTGATACACATTGATACATATAGATAGGCATGGTGATACACATTGATACATATAGATAGGCATGGTGATACACATTGATACATATAGATAGGCATGGTGATACACATTGATACATATAGATAGGCATGGTGATACACATTGATACATATAGATAGGCATGGTGATACACATTGATACATATAGATAGGCATGGTGATACACATTGATACATATAGATAGGCATGGTGATACACATTGATACATATAGATAGGCATGGTGATACACATTGATACATATAGATAGGCATGGTGATACACATTGATACATATAGATAGGCATGGTGATACACATTGATACATATAGATAGGCATGGTGATACACATTGATACATATAGATGTGCAATATGGGTTTGAAAAGTTTGTTCTAACCTTGACCCAATTTTAATGTCAAATTGGTTAAAACATTTGTATCACAAGCGTCAAATTGGTTAAAACAAACTTTGTAATAACCAAGAGGCCAAGAATGATTATATTTGGCCAGTAGCATGCTGGGATGTAGAATTAAGATAGTAAATATTGCTTGGCTAAAACCTTTCAGGTTAAAATTTCTTTTCTGCTAATCTGATTTAGTTCATATACTTGGTAGTAACTGGTATTTTCGAATTACATAAGTATGCAACGCTTTATCACAAATATGTCAAATCCAATATGGTCAGATATATGGCGGGGACCTGTCCGTGTTCTACGTTTACATTGGAAATAATAAAGTTTGTCTCTCAGTACTAAATTATTTGGTATTAACTTATTCTAAATGAAGTGTTTGCTTGGTGCAAACTAACTTCTGGCGAAGAGCCAAAATAAAAAGTTGGTGGGTTATGTACGGGTCCTGAAGCTGACTTGAGGAGACTAATCAATACTTACCTGTGGTAGATATTAATTGGCTTACCTGTGATGGCGTAAATGTATCCATGGTTCCATCTAACCCAATCAATACCACTATAAATCCAGTGTGACGCAGCTCCTCCACAGAACAACAGAATCCATCCCAGGACAGGTATGTACAGACGCTACAGCACAACATTACAGGTGCGCGGTTAGGGTTTGGCTTAACAGTATTTTCATATCAATATTCCCGCTTAATGAACCGAAATTAGTCTTTCATATCTGTTAGTTGACATGAGATATCGAATGTATGATTAAGATGGACTTACATGATCGACATAGATATGCCTAATATCACAATTGCGTTTTTGACTTTAGTCTTAATTGTCGTGGACTTATGTATATGGGACATCCATATCTGACTGATAGCAATACTTGGGTTGTGGTCATACTTCAATAAGGTATTTTGTTATATCAACTTTTCTTTTTTGCACTTGTTTCTGATGTGTAATCTGTTAAAGCAATGTCGTTTTTGGATGTCCGAGATGCTCAATGCGCTTCAACTGTGGATTGTGGCACGGTCCCGATTTGTCTCTGCCGATCCAGTCATAACGGTAGTGAGTCAATCATACTATGACTGTTTGTTACGATAAAAAAAAACAGTAAAAACCTTGAGAAAATAGTGTAGGTCGTAATACAATGTACAATCTTCAAAGTACTGCATCTGGGAATCTTCATAAGAAAACAACTTTTCGAAATTTATTTTTTGTTTAACGTCCTAACGTTCTGTTACAGTTAAGGTCGTTCATGGACGTGCCACTGTGTCAGGCGCGTAGCCGGGCTGTTTTGGTTGTGCATGCAGAAAGTCGCACTGAAGGGGGGTACGGGGGCATCCCCCCCCCCCCCCCCCCCCCCCCCCGGATTCTGTTAAGATCTAGAAGCTCTGTCGTGCCATCTGGTGGCTTTTTAGATACATATTTGAGTATTTTAATTTATTTTACAAAAAACATTTTTTGGTTAATTCATTCAATTTATTATTGGAAAGCATCGCAAAATTACCCGAAAATATCTCTTTCCTGAAGAATTGAAATTAACTAGATATTTAAAATGTCGGAGCCAATATGAACAGATTAATTTCAGACTTTTTGCTGCTGTGTCCCCCAAACCCTTTTTATATCATCAACATTTCTCAAAACATAAGATGACGGTAGCTCCTATATCGATGTTTAGATATATGGGGCAAAGAAGTAATTCCAACAGTGTGGACAAGTTTAGGTTGTCAAATTTTCGGAGCGATCCGCTCCTTTATCAAGACACAGTGAAACAGATGTTGAGATATAAGTATACACATATATCCAGTAGCACTACTGAAGATAGGTCTAGGACTACTCTTAAAAACATACGTAACAGTTCATGACAGGGACAAATGAAGGCCTATATAATGTCACAGATAAGCATAACTTTCGAGGCTTTGCCTTTTCCATATTACATTTGCAGGCGAAGTAAATGTAAAACTCAGATGGATCTTATACGCGCATGTATCCGCCCTAAAACCTATAACAATAATGCTAGTAACAAATCAATCTACAATTGTTATTCGGAAGACCATTAATTGGTTAAAAAAAATACACAAAAATACATCCATTCCGGAAAAACAACCCGCCTCCGTTGACTTAGTTGTATTTCATTACAATCGCTTGGTAAAATGTTGCCGTGTATGGAATTTGAACTCGTCATTTTTTTTTCATCTTTTTGACAGGATATCGATATCCAGTAAACCGTTATAGGTTATAAGCCTGGAAGCAATTTCAGAAGTAATTCCTTCATATTTTCTTCCACGACGTCTAATGCATATTATGTTTGTAAGTTTGTAACTTTTTGGGGTTGGTAGATCTAACTAAGTATAACAGTAATTGACCATTGTTAGAGGAAGGAATATAACGTTATCAGCTAAATGCGAACCGTGGTGAGCGAGTCGTGTGCTATGTGTAAAGGGAGATAATTTGCAATATATCATCGAACAAAGTGTGACGTCACGGTTGGGCAGCCATGATAATTTATCATTAGATTCCGACAGTACAGTCTAAACACTCAAGTGAACTGTCACTTGTGTCGTCGAATAACAGAAGTGGTGTGTACTGGTGATAACTGTGACTGACATGGAAACTATTTTCCCTTTGTTATTTTAAACAGGAACTGGTGGAAACTTTGTAAACAGTTTTGGCGAGTTGTCAAACTCATTGTTGTTTTGGGTACTGTGCTCTTTGTAAGACTTTGTGATCCGATCAAACGGAGCTGAGAGGATTATGCCGAAGGAACGTCCCACTAGTGCGCAATCCCGCACGGCATGGATAGATGACATGGATACTTACGGATCAGGAGGTCATGCAAGGCCCGATAGCCAATTCGAATTTCGGGCCAGAGAGGACGCTGATCTACCAATGGAGAACGAGTTTGGTCAGAAACCTGGATCAAGATCAGACCGGGGAAAGGAGCAAACACAAGTTGCTAGGCCAAAACCTGTCGGCATATTTGGCAAAATTGGAAGGGGAATCAGATGTAAGTATCATATGATATCTTTCAATATCCAACAGTCCATCTTTATCATTCCCCAAATCTGTTCATGGTTCCAGGTACACCTAGCTATAGGTGTATGTCAGACGAGTAAGCTTACATTGGTTATAGGGTCCACAAGCCCAGTACAAACCCTGAACAAAACTACTGCCTTGGTCAAATGACAAGTCTTGTACATCATCAGCAAAGACCGTAAATCAGTCTTATTCTGTGAAGTAAGAATTATTTCTTATTATTGCGACTGGCTTAATTTAACAGAACATGGTGAATCCTGGACTCATGCTATCATGGGACTTGCCCACATTTTGAATTTCGCCTGTAAAAAAATAATTTTGGTGTAAGTGGTATATAACATAATTCAACAAAAATCACTCTTAACCAGTACCTAACTTGTCTGAGAAAATCCTACAAATATCACTAAACAAATAAAAATAAAGAATGGTAATTAATGTACCGACAGAAATTACAAAAGATATGAATAAACACAACAACCAATATTTGATGTGAACAGATACATGTAGTTTGTAGTGTTTAAACTGTATTATAATCCTAGACCAGACCATGAAGAATCCATGGAAATAACCCACATATAATAGTTATGCCTATGTGGGTAATTATACTGATTATGACTGACTGTCCATGCCATTTAATTTACTGTTACGTGCATAATGATAGTGGTAACAGACTGAGTTCACGTTTAATTCCTTTTTTTCCCTACTTCAGGGACTGTGTCACACAGGCAAGACCTGGTGGTCATTTATTATCCCGAAATTACTACGGAAAAGATAAAATCCCAGTTATCATATTAAAGTTATATTAATATTAAAAAAGATGAAGAGCAGTCGGGCTTTCAGTTGACTCATGATATTTAGCAATTTCAGATGCAATATAGATATTTTCCCTGAAAACTGGAGGGTCAAACTCATGTCAGTTACACTTGTTCCATTGAACCCATGAGCAAAAGCTAAAGGAGTCAAAATCATAGCAGTTAACACAGTCATATAAGGGTCACCTGATGAATGCATTGAGAGGCCAAAGTTTTATTGAAGCCGGTATGATGTGTGTAAGTCTAGAACCAGGGTCCAGTTTGGTTGTATACACACCATATCTACCTCAGGTGTTCTGGTCCTACTTACTGATACAGGTATATTGATTACTCAGCACCTGAATAATTCATACCAATGTATACCTATAAAGCTACTTGGTGCCAGTCCCATGGATAATGAAGTAGATTTTCTATTGATTCTATGCAGCTCTCTGTTATGACAGTATTGATTTTACAGGTAAACTGAAACACAACATCACTGCAAAACAAAGGTACCATGGTCCTGTTATAGATTTTTCCTCTTTTATCTTACATATTGTATGATGTTGTTCTAGGCCATAGAATTCACGGTGATTGATTTCAATGCCTTGTGAAATAGAGAAGTTATTGATTGAGGATAACATACCTGTACAATTCATGCAAGTTAACACACTCTCTTTCTTGAAGTTGAAACATCAGTCATCAAGGTACATGTTTGTAAATAGTAACCTTTAAATTTTGACCAAACCATTTATTTAACCGGAAAAGGAACATTAGAGCTACAAAGTTTAGATTACATAGTAGATTACTAGATAGCACCCAATAAGAATACCAAGACCTTACATATGGTGTAGACCAAACAACTATATAATCCATATACTATTCTACAACTGTCTGAGGAAAAGATATTCATGTTACCTGCCAAAATATTATTTCAGAATTTTTTTAAAAGTATTTTGGATGATATTCTGTGGATGATGCTCTTCTGTTGTATGTTATGTTGGACTAATACCTGGTAATTAAAACTTATTTTTTTCATATCTAGGCTGTACTGTAATGCAATTGAGACGTGTATAGTATTAGTTTGTGATAACAAATACCAGGCCAATGATCAGGTTGAACTAGGTTTAACTGTACACAGGTGTATATATACTCTTTATGTATGTGGACTTAAATCTTCTGAGTCTAAATCTTCTGAGTCATAGTATACTTACAAGGTATATACACTTACAGGACTCCTATTAGACTCATTTGATTGTGCTGTGATTCCTCCAAATTTCTTCAGAACTCTTACATAATTTGAAAACCAGTAGAAACTTTTTATATTTGTAATACTCATTTCAGTTTCATTTAATTCAAATAAATTTGGGATGATGAAATTAAATTAAGAGAGGAATAATCAGACGAAGGTCAAGTCAAATTAGGAGAAGGTTAAGTTATAATAGCAAAAGGTTAAGTTATAATAGTAAAAGGTTAAGTTATAATATTAAAAGGTCAAGTTATAATACTAAAATGTCAACTAACATTTTTTTGAAGGCTGGCTTAGTAAACTGGCAGCTATCTTGATGCTTGTCCATATGTGATACTTAAACATGACAGATAGAGTAGCCAAACTATACTTTTTTTTTTTTTTATTAATTTGACTGATTTCAGAAACTGAAAACACATAACTACATTGCATGAAATAATTTCCTGGATATCAACTTTGTGACAAGTGAGCTGCATTAAATGTATGTGTTTAATATCTTGCACAGCACTATGGGCTACCCGTCAGACAGAAGAGACCAAAGGCAACCGGGAACTTCATGTAAAGACCACTCTCAGAGAACTGATCATCTACATTGTGTTTCTGGTCATTCTCTGTGTCGGTAGGTGTATATTATTATTAACACAGGTGGAAAATATTCTGTTTGCAGTATACAAACATGTATGCTATTAAGTAATTTTGAATTCTCAAGCATTATTCATCAATCACTGTTAAGGAAGAAGACCCCCAACTCTTTCTGAACTAAAAACAGGCTTTGAAAATTTATTTTCCTGTTAAATTTATGTTATTTCTTCTCTATTTAAAATTTCTTAGAACAACATAGTGGGAAATAATTACAATGGCATACATTGTTAAGTAATATACAAAGGTAAATTGACAGACAGGATGAGGGTATGTATTTCAGGCCATTGTCCTTTCACATCTTTGTCAATGCATTAAGTTGTTTCATTAATTAAAGAATATTCCTTATATATCTAATTAACATTGCATCTTTTTATTGAACAGTGACCTTTGGAATGACCTCAACCAAAATGTACTACTACACCAAGGTTATGAGTGACCTGTTCCTCTCTACCACTCACAGTGGCGGTGGCACCTTCCAAACCCTCACAAATGTTGATGACTTCTGGAAGGTAAGGCAATAACTCCATAGTTTTCATATAATAACATGAAACTTGTTAAAATGTAATAAAAAACTCAAGACATGAAAAGATAGCATGTTTGATTGAAAATGAAAACTGACTTCTGCTTATTGTATTTACAGTTCAGCCGGGAGACTCTGCTGAAGGGACTGTACTGGGAAAAATGGTACAATGGAGATGACATCACCAACCCTGATGACCTTGGCTACATCTACTACGAAAACAAGCTACTTGGTATACCACGTTTCAGACAACTGAAGGTCAGCAGCAATTCCTGTGTTGTTCATGAGGACTTCAAGGATGTCATTCGTCATTGCTATGACTCATACTCAGATAACTTGGAAGACAAAACATCTACCACTGCAGACCACCCAGGTTACACAGCGTAAGTAGTATATAGTAGCTTTCTAATTCATTGTAATTATTGTTTTGAAAAAAAACAGGAGGGAGAGTCTGTCACCGTTTAATATTAAATACTCTTTCATTCTAAAACATTTTACTGAAAACTTCTTAGAAAAAGTGGTTCTTTGATTTGTGCAGGTGGACGTATAAAACAGAAGAGGAACTGGATGGCTCGAGCCACTGGGGTCAGCTGACGACTTACAGTGGCGCAGGTTATGTCCAGGAGCTGGTCGGGAACAACTACACCTCAGCGAAGGCGCTGGTTGACCACCTGTTTAATGAGCGATGGATAGACCGAGGCACAAGGGCTGTCTTTATCGACTTCACTGTCTACAACGCCAACATCAACCTCTTCTGTGTCGTAAGGTGATTATCTTTCATATCCATCCATTTATATTTAAAACATTAATCTCCTGTCTTGGAAGAAATGAGGTTGAAACCTTAAACATCATCAAAAAGAAACAACAAGTTACAACAGGAAAAAAACACTTTACAAATGAAAATGTCTGATGAAAAAACTTCATAAGAGAATAGTGGTGAGAACAGTGGTGCTGTATGTAGGTTTTGTTTGACAGGTTCCTTGTTGAGTTCCCGGCAACAGGTGGCGCCATCCCCTCCTGGACATTCCGAACTGTGAAGCTGATCCGCTACGTGACTGTTCAGGATTACTTCATCATGGCTTGTGAATGCATCTTTGTCCTCTTCATTGTTTACTACATTGTAGAGGAATCCCTTGAGGTATGCTTGAGTTTTTTTTCTCTCAAAAATTGAGAGTCAAAATTACTGTTCAATTATAAGTGTTAACAAGATATGTTTAAGAAATTTGTATTCTAGATTTGAACTTTATTTATAAATTAATTGGAAATTTACTGTAACTTCTACTTTTAACAGATCAAGAAGCACAAACTGTCCTACTTCAAGAACGTGTGGAACATCCTTGACATACTGGTGATCCTGTTAGCCATCCTTTGTGTTGCGTTTGATGTATATCGGACAGTGGAAGTGGACAACAAGCTAAGTGTACTACTGGAGAATCCAGACAAATTCGCAGACTTTGAGTTCCTCAGCTACTGGCAGACCAGATTCGACAATGCGATTGCCATAGCAGTCTTCCTGGCCTGGATCAAGGTTTGTTTTAGGTTTGGAATGCTAAACCTTTTAACACTCGCCTGCTCCAAGAACAGAGCAAAATGATAGTTGAATGCATAAAGAAATGCTTATTACTAATGTGAACAAAAGTAAATATTTGAAATTGTTTTTTCCCAAACTAACAGAAAGCATAATGGAAGTTCTGTTGGAGTAACAAAGGGTATGGTACTAAAAAGACTATTTAAAAAGCCATCTACATTTATAGACAGATTGAATATTTTCAGACTTTGAAAATGTTGTATTTCAATTGTATTTCATTTAGTTTTCTTTCACCTCTACCAAAGGAAAAAAGAGAAAAAGTCATTTAGATTTAATATACCATATTTTCAATTTTGTTATTTCATGATTGACTGAACATGAACTGTTAAGATAAAAATGTGTAGCAAGTCCAACAAGAAAACTGCAGAAGTTTAATGTATGATTACATCTTTAATCCAGATCTTCAAGTACATCAGTTTCAACAAGACAATGACCCAGCTGTCGTCCACACTTGGGCGCTGTGCCAAGGACTTGGCTGGTTTCGCTGTCATGTTCTTCATCATCTTCCTGGCTTTCACACAGCTGGGTTATCTCCTCTTTGGCACACAGGTGAAGGACTTCAGCAATTTCCAGAACTCCTTGTAAGTACACAAATATTGCATCACCTGATTTGAACTGTTATGATACTTCGAAAATTTAACACAAGTATAAAACAAATCTGCTTACAACTTATATTCAACATTTGAAATCAATTTTATTCTATACTTGAGTCCATTAACGAGAGAGTCTGAAATATGTGAATAAAGGGAGGAAAAAATGGTAAAAATGTTTGAAGGAAGAATAAATTTGAATAACATGAAATATATTTCTGCAGACAATAATCAAATACATTGTATACATATGAAAATTTATCTTAAACTCTTCACAATTTTAGCTTCACACTGTTCCGTATCATCCTTGGAGATTTTGATTTCCATCAACTGGAAGCAGCCAATCGTGTTCTTGGTCCGATCTTTTTCATGCTGTTTGTGTTCTTTGTGTTCTTCGTGCTGATCAACATGTTCTTGGCCATTATCAACGACACCTATTCTGAGGTGAAGGGTGACATGGCAAACCAAAAGAACGAGTTTGAGATGGGAGACTATTTCAAGAGGGTAAGGCTTCAGTATTAATTACAATCGCTGATTTTATTGTCAAATTCAAAGAACTATCCATTTGTCTATGATCGACTGTAAACCACAATGTTATTCAAGTTGTTCTACTAAGATAAAGAACAGTACTTACCTGTATAATTTATCTAATCCATGGTTTTTGTTGCTACCCAATGAGAGTATTACCTTGGTATGAAGATGGGCTTTTAAGATTAGATATAAAATTTTGAGATATAATGACTAATTTCTTAATGCTTGGATATAGGGATACATGAAGATGGTTGAAAAAATCAACTTCAAGCGTGACAAGATCGTTGACATCCAGGAAGCTCTGAAAACTGCTGACATTAACCAGGATCATAAACTGGAATTTGATGAATGGCGCACAGATCTGAAAACGTAAGCTTTACATGTTTTACATTCTAAGCTATCTGCTAACGTGTTGCAAGGCCTTAACATATTTACCATACGTATAGTTGTTCTTTTTCCAAACTTACATCATTGGTATTTGTAAACAGTGGCAGTTTTGCACGTTTCTAAACAGCTGAATTTCAAAAGGATTTTAAAACCAAGGTTATCAGTATATAGAAATTCAGCAAATGTTTTAAACACAATTCCAAATATGGTTTATTTACTGGCCCTTCATAACAGTACAAGTGCTTATTAAACAAATGTTTTTGTCCAACATAATTGTCAATGTCATATATAATTATCATTTTTTCCAACACAAATCACATACTAATTGTTACAGCCTACAGTCGCGTGTCTTTCTGTAAAATTACCCTCCTCTCACGTACAATTATATTGTTGTCTCAAACATTATTTCAATCTCTTGCAAATTTAACCTTCAGTCCAAAACAAAAAGGAAAGAAACATTGAAAATTATATATATATGTAATTGCTTTTTTTCTCTTCCTAGTCGTGGGTATGCTGATAGTGAAATTGAGGCTCTATTCGCCAAATACGATGTTGATGGTGACCGTATCTTGGATTCTGCAGAACAGAAACGATTGACAAATGATCTGGAGGAACAGACGGTAGGGAATTTTGAATGTAAAGAGAAGGATCTTAAGATTTGTTCATGCTTAATAAAGGATAGGGCCTAGTAAGTTGCAAGAAGTTGTGCCCAGTGTAAATAAAATATGTTTGAATGAGTAAAGGATAATGGTCCAAGAGATGTTCCGTTTATGCTGATAGTGTAATGGTTAACAATGATATGACATGTACTATAACTGTAACATGAATTGTATCCATGTTAGAAGTCTTCCCTCATAAACTAACAGTAACATGTGAATAATGGCCCATCAAATGTGATGTCACATGTCTTTCACTTATGACATCATAATTAGGACAATATATGCAACATGGTAGGCCTCAAGATGGCATTTTTCTGAAATCTCATATGCAATGTAAGCTGCCATATGTAAGGTGTATCTTGCTTTTTTTCTCACAGACTGCTATAAATAAAGAATATGACAATTTAGAGAAGACAGGGCACAGACCAGGTACAGCACGTAGCGGAATTAGTGAAAATGATGATACTGGAGACGAATCTGATGACGACGAAAGTGGCACCAAATCTTCACGCTCTGGACGGGCATCAAGTGGGGTTTCATATGAAGAATTCACAGTCCTCTCTCGGAGGGTAGATAGAATGGAACACTCCATAGGCAGCATAGTTTCAAAAATAGATGCTGTATTAGTGAAATTAGAAGCCATGGAAAAAGCTAAATTAAAAAGAAGGGAAACAATGGGAAAAATACTTGACAGTATAACAGAGGTAGGTATCACATGATTGATTTTTTTGGCAGTTTTGTTTTCCTTTTTTTTTTACTTGAGAGATCTGGCAGACTTTGATTATGTGTTTAGCTTCAACTCTTGTTCAATGATTTCACAAGTTCGGTTAGAGATAGCTGTGTATATTAATATTTACTTGTCACAATGATTTTATAATTATTTCACAAATTTTAATATTGATGCATTTACAACATTAAGTATAATTTGTAACATAAAATAACTTATCATATTTGATTTGCAGTGGTTAACTTTATCCAACTCCCACTTTTAATATGTTTTAATTTTTGAAGTAACGAATTATCACTATGAAGTCAGTTGCTGTTTTCATGTTTAATTTTCATAAAATGACAAAGATTGTTTGTGATCTAGTGCATGTTCATTGATATAGACTGCGCACACTAAAGTTAAAGAATTACTTGTATTGAAAATGTGACAGACTGAAAACTGCAATTGACTCTTTGTTTTAATGATTGATTCACTTTGATTGGTCAGATTGGTGACATGTTCTATTTAACGTTTAGCCAGTCATGTTCCAAGATAACATTTCACTTTCCTTGTAACCTTTCACAATGATAAATGGTTTGATCACACACTTTGTTTCTTCAAGTCTGATGGTAATAGTGATGAAATGAAAAGAGAACAGATGGAAAAATTAGTTCGTGAAGAATTAGAAAGATGGGATTCAGAAACTTCATTTAGCCCTAGTGGCCGAGGGGCATCACCTGGTAGTGGCAACAGTTCTCGTGGGGTCAGAGCACGATCCCGACCAAATTCAGGAAATCCTGTGGTAAGTTAATTTAAGTCAGTTGTTCCACACAACACCTGATCAGGGTTAGTTAACAGATTATACTCCTACCTTGTTATATCTCATGAGTTTTGAATCATCATAGAAATATTGTAAGATTTAAGAATTCAAGATTTCAGCACCAAATTTAGCACACATATTTAGTTAATAAGCATAACAATATATACATTATTATAGCAAGGGGTAATAAAACAATGTCATCTTGTTATATGTATTATTCATAACCAATTTAGGTATTAATTATTCAGATTGATGAATATGAATTCTAAGACTTAGTAGTGGAAGTCCATGAACTTACAGGATTCAAGTTAGATTTTAAGTACACAAGGAACAAAGGCTTTGGTGTGGTGTCCGTCATCAACTTTTCTTTAAATGACCGCTAACGCAGAATGGCTGAAGTAATTGTGACTAAATATGGCTTGATGGGAGTTTGACAGCATATAAGACATCAGTAGAGAAAGGGTGATATATGTATAAATAAAGGACTACTTCCTACCTATGAGTGAAGGACTTTTGATCTTATAAGGCATTATCCCTGCATGAAGGGGTTTCATTGTTATTTAAATAAGGGGTTTAATTCTACTTCGGAGGAGTGGGGCTGGGCTCAGTGTGAGAAAATGGAACAAAATCACTTTTACTTCTCCTGGTTTAATCGGCCAATGTAAACAAAAATTAGTGCAAACGATAATCTCAGGACAAGTTATTTTTCAAGCTCATAGTCTCTGATTGTCTGATTGTCTCAACCAAACTTACCTGAATAATAGCCCTTACCAAAACATTTTCATATTGTTAATTTTGTTCTTTGGGTCAAATCTGAGATTTCCACCGTAGTCTCAAATTTGCAGAAACATTTTAACATCTTTTATAGTTAAGATAACAAAATAAACTGTTGAGAGATACTGGTCCAATGGACTTCTTCTTGATTATAATGTCTCTTTACAACCCAATGATAGGTCAGTTACTACCAATACTATCAGCATGTTTATTTTTGTTAAAAAGCTCTCCTAGAGAGGCGCATCCTCAGGTATTTCTTCAGCTTTTCATTGATGTATACTAATATTATTATATACTCTATTATTTGCTGTGTCTTCCTAATTGATAATGTTGCCAATACATTGTCTTTAGTAGGGTTTATTTAAGATAAACCTATTATGTGGTAGTACTTCAGTCGACTGCACCTTTACACCGTTCCATTGTTTACATGACATTAAGACCATGTTCAAATGGTCACTCACATGGTGATTGCTGATATGATGTTCTATCATGTAACCTTATTTATGACGATTTCTAGCAAAGACTCCCAATGGTAATTTCTCACATAGCCTCTCATATGACCAAATCCTTTTGTTTAAATTCAAAATGATAATTGAGTTAATTAAAAGCAATGAGAATGATAATAAAATAGATTGTAGCTACTGTGCCAAGATAGTTTTCAGATTAGCAGAGACATGTTTATAGAACACTTCCCTTTGAAGGTAAATGTATAAAGTATCCTAAGTTAAAGGTACATGTTTATAATGTATACAGTACATTTCCCTGTGAAGATGTGGGAAGTGCACTCCCATTTAGGTCATCAACTATGCCTTATGGCAACTTCCAGAGTATAACTATGCTTTCAATCCCTGGAACTGTACTTTTATACCATATTGAGACATTTTAATTAGTGTAAATAAACTGTAATGAACATATAAAGGTGAAATGTCTCCTCACTATGTTTTTGTCGTCTTCTTTTAGTCCTCTGAAGTCTAATGGTAAATACACTTATTAGTGCTTTATATTTTGTGGTTTATTTTTGTTTTGACTCCTCTTATCAAATTTCATTATTTTTCTAGTGTTTTTATTATTAATGGAGTGGCTGACAATTTACTGAAATTAAATGAAATAACTAAAGTTTGAAATTAGGAATTTCCAACCAGATCCAGTTTCACGAAGAGTTGGGGAGTTGTGAAATGGTATCATTAACAGCAGCTGATAAAACAAATGACAAATTCTTCAGAAAAGTTTGAAGCTAGAGAAAAATTGAAGCTATAGAGAAAACTTTGAAGCTATAGAGAAAAGTTTGAGGCTAGAGAAAAGTTTGAAGCTATAGAGAAAAGTTTGAGGCTAGAGAAAAGTTTGAAGCTATAGAGAAAAGTTTGAAGCTAGAGGAAAGTTTGAAGCTATAGAGAAAAGTTTGAAGCTAGAGGAAAGTTTGAAGCTATAGAGAAAAGTTTGAAGCTATAGAGAAAAGTTTGAAGCTAGAGGAAAGTTTGAAGCTATAGAGAAAAGTTTGAAGCTATAGAGAAAAGTTTGAAGCTATAGAGAAAAGTTTGAAGCTAGAGAAAAGTTTGAAGCTATAGAGAAAAGTTTGAAGCTATAGAGAAAAGTTTGAAGCTAGAGGAAAGTTTGAAGCTATAGAGAAAAGTTTGAAGCTATAGAGAAAAGTTTGAAGCTATAGAGAAAAGTTTGAAGCTAGAGGAAAGTTTGAAGCTATAGAGAAAAGTTTGAAGCTATAGAGAAAAGTTTGAAGCTATAGAGAAAAGTTTGAAGCTAGAGGAAAGTTTGAAGCTATAGAGAAAAGTTTGAAGCTATAGAGAAAAGTTTTAAGATAGAGAAAAGTTTGGGTTTCATTAATTATTGAAAGCTTTACTATTTTTGGAATTGTTTTTTAGCTTTTTAGGTGAAATGACTTCACATTTTTAGTTCAGATTTTTTCTCACAAAGTATGTGTAGATTTAGTAATGTTTTATTTATTTCCTGAATCACAAATGTTGGTATGAATAAATGCTGTTTGTCTTTCACATACAATTATGCATAACCTGTCTGTGCACCTGGTTTTATGTTTATAAAAAAAAAGTAAAACTCTAAGTAACAAACAGGGGTATATATTAACTTTATATTGATGTATTAAACTAGGGTGTATATAAACTTTATATTTTAATGACCCTGATGTATCAAACTAGGGTATACATTCACTTTATATTTTAATGACCCTGATGTATCAAACTAGGGTATATATTTATCTTATTTATAATTAATGTGTGTCTTCAACTGTTGCGGGGGACTTTTTACTTGAAATCTGTTTATTAGTGTGATTTGAAACTGCGGTGTTTTGTAAATAATGATTTTAAGCTATAGATTGTGTGAAGAGTGATATTGTAAATAATGATTTTAAGCTATAGATTGTGTGAAAAGTGATATTGTAAATAATGATTTTAAGCTATAGATTGTGTGAAGAGTGATAATAACCTCCTGCTGACCATAAAGCTTATTTTTGTGTATTTTTATTCATTTGTGATTATTGTGTTCGTAAAATTATTTCATATTTGATTCTTATAGTGGCAATGTTCAGTGATATTTTATATTTTTAGTACCAGAATTAGAAACAATTATAGAACAATTTTGTTTAAAAAAAACAGTAATTTGTTGTAATTTGCACATAAGCTATTAGATAATGCAAAGTGAAATACAAAATGTATATATATAGTGTGTAAGGGACATTTTTATTTTATCAATAGTAACAAATAAATGTATTTTGCTGCCTGGCCCACAGGGTAAAATGAGCATATTATACTGTGACATCATCAATTACCTATCCATTGACTTTCAGTTTAAAATCCTACCAGTTCGGGACAGCTGAATAGATTTTGATTAAATTTGGGTTGGAGCGTTGTGAATGTTGTATAAAGGGAGAAGCAGCCTACACCACCAGGTCATAGGGGTAGGAACCAATGGGGGGGAAAGACATAAATAATACTCTATCAGTAAATCAGTAGTGTTAGATTTTAACCAGTTTGGTTGCTCATTCTGAAAATCAAAGAGGCCAGCATGGCCTCTGATAGGCTGAGACATTTTTTAATACTTCTCAAAAATGGCTAAATCAATTAAATTAAATTATCTAGCTTTTCATGCCAAGATGGATGTCCAGATGTCTGATTGGCTGAAATATTTTCCTAAGTTGACTAAAACATTTTCCAAAGTTGACTTTAAAGTTTTCCTTATGAGGTCCCAAACAAGTGTTTCTACTTTCTGTGCTGATTGGAAAATCCAAGATGGCCACCCTAGCATTTGATTAGCTGAGACATTCCTTGACTTCTTCTCAAGAATGGTTGCACCAATTGACTTCAAATATGGTGTAAATGTTATTTATAAGATCTTAAATAAGAGTTCTTACTTTTCCATGCCAATCGCAAAAGCCAAGATGGCTAATGTGGACTCTGAATGGTTGAGACATCTTTATTTGAACTTGTGTGGGCATTAAGGCCCTATTCCGTCTTTGCGTATTGCAGAGTTATCTGCTCTTGAGAGCAGGTATTGATTGTTACGTCATTTGTTGGCGAGAGTAACGTCATCAAATTTTGAGAAAACGACGTAATTTTCTCACACAAACCAATGACGTCACAATCAAAACCTGCTCACAAGAGAAGATAACTCTGCAATATGCAAGGACGGAATAGGCCTCATGTCATGATATGTAGTTGGCGTGATCCTGGGACTGGAGGGATGAGACTCAATATATAGTTTGGTGTATAGCTGTATTTCTTTAATCGATATCCCCACTATATGCCCATGCACACACTAGACATGAAGAGATAAATTTATCCATGCTACAATAATTGGCACCAGTGCTCAGCCCTGCCCCTGAGGACTTAATCATAAGGTCGTTACATGGAAATGGTCAAGATCCCCACCCCAATATCCAAGCGATTTTAACTAAAATATGCATATAATCTGATTGTCTTTGTTTAGCTTTGTTTGTTTCTTTAAATAATATTTTGAAGATCTCTTTTGGAGATAAATACATTTTAAAAGATGAGTTGATGGATTTACAGGAGCACAAGCATATGAATACTGAGGATCGTTAAAAAGTTTCAAAATGGGAATAGTTGTACATGTGATGTCTTTATTATACAGCTTCCTATCTTAGTAATCAACAAGAGCAGGTGCATTGTTAAAGCTTAAAAACTTAATTGTCTTATTTCTCCTTAATTTCTATTTCAAATTAATGTATATGCTGAATATTACTTTGTTACTTACGGATAATTTCTTACTCGTCTCTTCTTCATTTTGTAGGATTTCATATATGACAGAGGATACCAAAGCAATGTTTAAACAGAAAACTAAAGAGATCAACGCTGGAACACTTTTTAATCTCTATCATTCCTGCCTGGTGTTATGTAGATGTAAATTTAATGTACTTATTTAGTTCTGCGATATTGTTTGTTTTAATCGCTACAATGGTTCAGGAAAACAGAATCATGACCAGAAATTCATACAGAAATGCATCGTTGAAAAAATGAGGAATGTTCATCGTCATTGAGATGTATGTGCAAAGGTGAATGCGATGAAAGAACAGTTTGGTCACAGGCAGGAAGACAACGGCATTGCATGGTGAATAACCTGTTTCAGCTTGAGACTAGGCATACACCACAGCAAGTAATATCTACTGTGAACAGAAAGGAGTTTTTCTCTAGGCATACACCACAGCAAATAATATCTACTGTGAACAGAAAGGAGGTTTTGTCCGGTGATTTGTACTGTCTCTGTCTTTGATACATTAACATCATACCAAGTAAAAATCTGTAGTTTGCTGTCCATAACGACAACCATGTTTAGATATGTGGCATGCACATCAATATCAAAAATCTGAATGTCAACTTCAGGTCAATGTGCATAGATTATTTTCACTGCTGAATTAAGATATATATGAAATATTGAAAAGTCCGTCCATTTTTATGCAAACATTTTGTATTTATTGTTAAATAATTATCAGTATTTTATTGCAAAACTATTTTGAATGTTAATACTAAACTGCTGATGGCCTAAAATTCTTAAAAATATATTGTTATCAATGGTCTTACTTAGACTGTGATTACTTTGTTTGGTAAAACCTGTACTTGGAGATATACAGGTAGAGTGTACCTTGGTGGAAGTCTAGTGCTAATGGTATGATTTTACTTATAGTGCTCAAGTGATATATGTAGGAATTAAATTCATGGAGAAACTATCTTCAATCATGGCAATAATGAGATTTCTGGGAAAGGCTAAGGTCACATCAAGTTATTTATTCCCACCAATTCCCCGGACTACTGTTAGCACCTACGCAGGAGAACCAGTTAGATATTTTCAAGTTGTTTTTCTTGTGATTGTTTTATCTATGTATGTTAATTTTATATTATAGAATATCTATATATATTTGCTGTAGAATCTCCCCTGCAAAATGGGACCATATTATATCATCAAGTCGTTCTTGACCAACTTACATATTTTAGTGGTGCAATTTATACCTGATCCATGTTTCTACTTTTAATGTTTGATACGAACAAAACTTATTTAATAAAAATCTGTCCACCATGTTATTGTTTAATAACAATTGGCAGGTGTTGATAAACTGATACCTTTTAAAAATGAAAAAAATGGTAAACGTGATTCTTTTCATATTTGAAAATGGTCCTACCATTTTGTTGGAATGCATTAATGCATTGTCTAAATGCTCTATCAAATGCTAGGAGCTTTTTTAAATTGTCTGATCTACAATGTTGTATATTTAATTCAGATATATATATATATTCTTGTATTGTATCCCTGCAACTTGTGGGAAATGCAGTTGATAAGTGCTAGTTCTTTGTCATCTTCCCTGTCCTTACCACCTATTTCGTTGTTATCTCCCCTGTCCTTACTACCTAGTTCTTTGTTATCTCCCCTGTCTAGTTCTTTGTTATCTCCCCTGTCCTTACTGTCTTGTCTGTTTACTTAGTTCTTTGTTATCTCCCCTGTCCTTACTACCTAGTTCTTTGATATCTCCCCTGTCCTTACTGTCTTGTCTGTTTACCAGGGCAACGGCTTGTACCACACGTGGTTCTAGGAATAATGAAACATCACCTAACATATCAATTGATATATATAATAACAAAGTTTAGTGCCGTATACATCAATTTGATAACAAAAATATTATTGTGTTCATAAGGGAAAGACTTATGTAGAAATATATTTATGCTGATGTCTCCTTTTATTCAGAAAAATCACTATTATTTGAAAATCCAACACACCGTGTAACTTTCTAGTATTCTTTCTATTCCCTGTTTTCTGATCTAACATAATTTTGTATTTCTTGTTAATTGCTTTCTCTCCACTCTGTTCAGGTATTTCTGTGAACTGTGATGTACTGCTATTCACATGTTTAACTGACCAACAATCCTCCATTGGTCAATTGTTTGACCATGTCTCGAGGGGCAGCACCCATATCATGTATGAACACTTTTACTGTCAGGGCATACAGCTAGATTACTGTACAGATATACTGTCTGTAGCACTATATCAGAAATCCGTCCAAGGAAACATCTCTTCACAATCATCTCACAGTCCTCTAGGTAGGAACTTGTCTATATACATATATGTATTAGCAATAGCAACTTACTTAACCACCTGTTGCAAACTTTAGAAGCTTTTCGTATAAGCAAGTTGATGAGAAAGCCGAAAATATTACAATTCTGTGTTTCAAGTTTGTATTTATTGCCAATTAAGTTTGGCTTCAAGTGTAGCCTGTTAAAGGTTTTGTAAAAGAAGGATTGTTGGACTAAATGATGGTTGTGAAGAGAAAACGTAGACTTTTACTACTAAATGTGATGTATTTTTTATTTTACTATCAATATGAGATAGATGTTAATACTTTGTTACAGAGTTGATTAAATATCTTTCAGCAATATGAATTGAAATCTTTGTTATTCCTTGCCCAAATGAGAATCATTGAGTTGTTGGTATTTAGCTTTGTCGTGCGTTATCCCCCAAATGTTTCTGTATTGATGAAAGTTAGTGGCAATGTTCAGTGCATCATGCTGAACAATTATTATTTTTGAGGCAATTTGAAATCCTCATCAAAGCCATTTTAAAAATCTATTACTTCCAAATCTACTGTCTTATTTCCCTAAAATATTATTTGAAATGATCAATGTATGCTACAGACTAATTTCCTTTATTTTCACTTCATTTTAAGTTAACTTAAAATCCAACATGGGCTTATGGAATGGTGTTTTCCGTCGTCTTGGCCAGTAGGTACCTGGGACAGAGTGCTATACAGTTTCCTCAAAAAAATAACCTTGACCTAATTTCAATGTCACCGGGGTTAAAAATGTAAAAAAAACATTTGAACAATTTCTTCTGAAAAACCAGGACGCCCAGATTAATAATACTAGGCCAGTAAGTACCTGGAATGAAGTGCTATAAAATGTCCTCAAATAAATGTCCTTGACCTACTTTCAATATCAAAATGGTCAAATGTGTTTAAAACGTTAAAACATCTTTCAAATAATTGAAAGGCCTAGAGCAATGGTATTTGGCCACTTGACATATTTTCAAGGTCAAAAGGGTCAAATATGTATAAAACTTTAATCAACTTCTTCAGAATAACTAGGAGTCCAAGTTCAATGATACTTGGCCAGTAGGTACCTGGGACAGAGTGCTGTCAAGTTTCCTAAAATAAATTACCTTGACCTATTTGCTTTAAACAACTTCTTCAGAATAACCAGGAGTCCCAGATCAATGATTATTGGCCAGTAGGTACCTGGGACAGAGTGCTTTCAAGTTTCCTGAAATAAAGAACCTTGACCTATTTGCAAGGTCAAAAGGGTGAAACGTGTTCAAAACCTTTAAACAACTTCATTTTTAGCCCACCCAAAACATTTAAACATTTTTAGCCCACCATCATCGTCCATGGTCCGTCGTCCATTTCCGTCCTTAAACAATTCTTGTTATCGATATTTCTCAAGAAGTACCAGAGGGATCTTTCTCAAATTTTATATGCAGGTTCCCCTTGGTCCTTAGCTGTGCAGGGCAACTTTTGAGACTGATCGGATAAACAGGCAGCCATCTTGGATTTTGATATTAAAAGTTTGTTATCGCTATTTCTCCAGAGGAACCAGAGGGATCTTTCTCAAATTTTAAATGTAGGTTACCCTTGGTCCTTAGCTGTGCAGGGCAATTTTTGAGACTGGTCGGATAAACAACATGGCTGCCTGTCAGCCACCTTGGATTGTGATAATGAAAGTTTGTTATCGCTATTTCTCAAGAAGTACTAGAGGGATCTTTCTTTCTCAAATTTTATATATAGGTTCCCCTTGGGTCCTTAGCTGTGCAGGGCAACTTTTGAGACTGATTTGATAAACAACATGGCTGACAGGCAGCCATCTTGGATTTTGATAGTGAAAGTTTGTTATCGCTATTTCTCAAGAAGTACCTGAGGGATCTTTCTCAAATTTTATATGTAGGTTCCCCTTGGTCCTTAGCTGTGCAGGGCAATTTTTGAGACTGATCGGATAAACAACATGGCCGACAGGCAGCCATCTTTGATTTTGATAGTGAAAGTTTGTTATCACTATTTCTCAAGAAGTACCAGAGAGATCATTCTTAAATTTTATATGTAGGTTCCCCTTGGTCCTTAGCTGTGCAGGGCAATTTTTGAGACTGATCGGATAAACAACATGGCCGACAGGCAGCCATCTTGGATTTTGATATTGAAAGTTTGTTATCGCTATTTCTCAAGAAGCAACAGAGGGATCTTTCTCAAATTTTATTTGTAGGTTCCCTTTAGTCCTAAGCTGTGCAGGGCCTTTTTTTGAGATTGATCGGATAAACAACATGGCCGACAGGCAGCCATCTTGGATTTTGATATTGAAAGTTTGTTATCGCTATTTCTCGGGAAGCACGGGAGGGATCTTTCTCAAATTTTAAATGTATGATCCCCTTGATCCCTCGTTGTGCATGTTATATTTTGAGACTGATCATAAAAACAAAATGGATTAAAAGAAGAACTAAACAGATCTTTCTCATATTGCAATGATAGATTCTATTTCTTTCACATTAAGTATTGTACTAGTAAATATGTGAAATGACAAACTCACTTTGAAGGTTGGCTTTCATACACTGTTAACATGACTCGATCAAACAGATAAGAGAAAAGATCGAACTGACAAAGAACTAATGAAGATGGTACAAAGGTGGGCGCCAAGATCCCTCTGGGATCTTTTGTAATAACCAGGAGGCTAAAAACAATGATATTTGGCCAGTAGGTACCTGGGACAGAGTGATATAAAGTTACCACAAATAAATGATCTTGACCTACTTTCACGGTCACATGGGTCAAATATGTAAATATATTTAAACAAATTCTTCTGCAATACTAGGAGGCCCTGGGTGATGATATTTGACCAATAGCGTGCTTGGGTAGAGTAGTATAAAGTTCTGTTTAGTCTGAAACATTCTTAAGCCAAGGAGACTCAAAGTATGGACATACAGTACATTTCACCTAATATCACGTCTGTTAATGTCACTTTTCGGTTATTATCATGTTTTTTGGATGCATCGTTTTTCCTGCTATATAATCTATGCAATTCAATTCTTTTATTATCACCTGATTTTATGTTGATTTCTCTTAATATCACTTTATTTTGGCCACTGCCACAAAAAAAATACAGGTAAATGGTGGTAATGATTCATGATAAATGCCCTGGGGACCTTCTTTCACACCCTGGACGCATTATGTAAACAATGCCTTGACCTAACAGGGTATTTTTTACACCTGGCTGACTGTCAAACAATAGGTTACACCTGGCTGACTGTTAAACAATAGGTTGACTTACATACTTGTTAACATGATATTCACCTGTGGTTGGGGAGCTAGGGCAGTCTAACATCTGTAAACTTTTCTAATGCCAAGTGTGATGTATTCTTTCAACTAATTATAACATGTGTACTATCTTCGATTACACACTTGCAGCAAATATCTAAGGAAATTAACCCATAAAAAGATGTTACTAGAGAAAGAACAGTATATATATCAAGATATAGGTAAATATTTACCAAGTCTCATGTTTACAATTGAATTTGATGCAGAATACCAGCCAAACACTTGTATGCCTACATCACTACTGCAGTAAACAATCATAATTACAATCGTACTGATCGTCATTTTGCTACTTAACAATATGAAATGTAACTGCGTACTGAAATGAAATACAAATAATAAATTTATTTCTATACTTATATCTATATTTCAACTAGGGTATAGAACAAGGTTAGTTACAAAATATCAATCTTCTTCATAGAGCCACATCACTTAGGCATTTGACTAAGTTCACTTCCGGTTTTGAGGGTTGAAAAACATCAAAAAATATGTATTCTGTTTATGTCATGTTTCGGTTAATATCATGTTTTTCTCTGACAAATGGGAAGTGATATTAAGAGGAATCTACTGTATTTGCAAAAGGACTTTTATTGATTTTTTTTCCATGATTGCTCAAATATCCAGGTGAGCGATACAATACAGGCCCTCTGGGCCTCTTGTTTAAAGCTAAATTCTAGTGAGCTGATTCTGCTGAAATTTATTGGAAATAACAGGACATGCTGTCTGTACAATTTCACTTTGAGTAACTAAATTTCATATGCAAGCACATCTTGGGATGGCAGAGTGTCAAGTACAAAAAGGTAGGTCACTGTGACGTATGGTTTTACCTTTGATCTTATACCCTATTCTATGCTAATTCACCTTGATTTGCTAGATTTTGTATGCAAGTACTTCTTGGGATGAAAATTTCAATGTGACTTATGTTTGCCCTTTCCTCAAGCTTTGCAATGCTTTGCCTTGTTCATTCATAATGAAAATAATAATTTGAGGTTCTTATATACCGCTTTATCACAACCTAGTTCGAAGGTCGTCTCAAAGCGGTTCACAGATTATTATCCGTGGTTATAGGGCCTTTGCAACCAGCCAATATCTTTCTCAACTCCGTTGGGAGCATACGGCCGGTGCTGTCATTTCGGCGCTCACAGCTAGCATTCTACAATTCTAGCACTACCCAACCACGTACTCATTTACAGCTGAGTAGACTGGAACAATCAGAGTTAAGTATCTTGCTCAAATATAAAACACAGTGCCGTACAGTGACTCGAACCCGCAACCATTCGGTCACAAACCCAGCGTCCTACCATTAGACTACCGTGCCTCATTAAATGTTCCGAAAGAACTATTACTGCAGGGGGGGGGTATAATCTACCATTCATGGTGACATTCATGGTGACAGTTCTAGTTTTTTTAGTTGATTTGTATTTCAGTATCACACACATCTTTCAAGTAGATTTTGAACTTAAATTCAAATAACACTGAACTGATTTGGCTGACATTTATTTGATATTAACAGTGTATGGTCCAGACCTTTTCTTTTCATCTGGAGTTTAGTCCAAAGTGGCAACCACAGCAGACATCTTCAAAATCTATTTTCAATATAGAGCCAAAATTCCTCTGAATCAATTTTGTTAGGAAAAGGTAGGTGTATAAGCATGAAGTTTTCTCATTTTGGAGTCAAGTTGTAATCCAATGTAGTGCCATTAACTTTGCGAAAAGAAATGTTCTTGACCCAGGTTGCATGGATCAAACACTCCAATGATTAATCTTAAAAAAAAATTGTATGACATTGCATATGGTATTTGGCCGATAGCTGAAATGCAGTGGTCTAGATCTTTGATCCTGGGTGCTTCTAATTGTAAACGTCTCGAGATACAGAACGATAACATTGTCAATGCTTCAATATCTGGAGCGACACTAGAAGGTATATCCCAAGTCATCCAGCATGCCCAATCAATCCTGGAAGGTGAAAAGGTAAATAAAATAGTTATTTGCCTAGGAACCAACGACATAAGCAAGAACAAACAAGCCCCAGACGATGTTTACATCAATGTCACAGAGGCGCTTCAGCAGGTACAAGATGACTTCCCGGAGGTTGATGATATAGGTGTGTGTACCGTGATCCCTCGTAAAGGAAAGAGTAACAACATCATCACGCTAAATGAGACCACTAAACTCGTAAACTCATTTATCGCCAAGATGTGTCAGCGAAACAAAAAGTTACACATTATAGATGTGTTCAGTGAATTAATATCGAACGGGACACCATGTAAGACCAACTACGACCCGAACGATCCCAGTGGCATTCACGTAAGTAAATGCGGTGCTGGCAAAATGGCTGCCTCGTTGTTGCATTTTTTGGACACAACCGACACAACGTTGTTACCCATGCGCACACCGAGTGGCATGAGGAAACGCAAAAAGAGTAGTACAAAAGGCTTTTGATAGAAGCGAGGGGCATACCATGTAAATATCTAAAAGAAATGCTTTTAAAAAATTCAAAAACATGTATCCAAACTAATGGTTTTACATCTAAATATTTCAACACCTCAAGATCAGCTCGTCAGGGATGCCCGATCGCCCCACTTTTATACATTATTCAAGCAGAACCACTTGCATGTGCTATCAGAGCAAACCCAGAAATATTAGGCATCCGAGTACCAGGTAATGATAAGGAAATAAAATTAAGTATGTTTGCAGATGATACTCAGCTAATCAATCAAACAGAAAAATCCATTCGAGAAGCTTATAAACTATTAAAATCATATGAAAAAGCATCAGGTGCCAAGATTAATTATGAAAAGACTGAAGGTTTGTATATAGGACTATTGAAAAATAAAGACCCAACATTTAATATCATAAAATGGACAAAAACAAATGTGAAAACTCTAGGAATTCATCATGGATATATGATAGATAATGACAAAATTTGGCAAGAAAAAATTAACAAAATAAAACACTGTCTGCAAATTTGGAAAACCAGAAACTTAACATTTAGCGGGAAAACTTTAATCATTAAATCACTAATAATATCTATTATAGGATATGAAATAGAAGCGAGGGGCATACCATGTAAATATCTAAAAGAAATTAACAAGATAATTTGGGATTACATCTGGGATGGAAAAGTAAATCAACTGGAAAGAAAAATGTGTTGTAGTAAAATAAAAAAGGAGGTATGGGAATGGTAGATCTTGAAACATATGTACAAAGTAAACAAATCAAAACTATATATAAGATAATCCACTCTAAAAATGAGAACTGGAACTCTATAGGTAGATACTATCTTACTAAATTAGACATCAAGTATATGTCAAAAATGTTTTTGTGCACTTGTTCGGACCTACAGGGCCTTGATATTAACAGAATACTACCAACTTTTTATGAAGATAGCTTGAAAGCATGGGCAAAACTTAAAGGAGTTAACGCACCACTTAAAAAAAAGAAATTCTAAACCAAAATTTATTTGGGAACACCTACATACAATTTCGGAACAAAGCCTTATTTATACAGTCTTTCTCATTAAGTGGTATCACAAAAATAGCAGATATTTGGGATGATGAAAAGAAGGAATTTAAAGGGAATGATATTATATTTGCAAAACTTATCAATAAACAGAATTGGATATCAGAAATCTCTAAAATTAGGAAAGCTATACCTCTAAATTTTCTCAGAATATTAAAAGATCCTACTGAAAATAATCAAATAGATAATCCTAAGTCAGAAGACCTCTTCATAAATAATAAATTTGAAATAATTTTGCCATTATGTAAAGGAACAAAAATTATGAAAAATAAAGACTTAAAAATTACCATGCTACAAAATACATTACTCCCAAAAACAAGACCTAAATCAGAAATAAAGTGGGAAGATGAACTTCAAAAAACATTTAATTGGGAGAAAATATGGGGAAATAATAAATGTAAACTGATTGCAACAGAAACAAAAATAAGGGAACTTCATTGGAAATGTGTACATAAAATAATTTATACTGAATATAAACTCCATGTTATGAATCGATCCAACGGTATATGTCATATGTGTCATATTGAATTAGAAACATTGAGCCACCTATTTTTGCATTGTAACTTTGTTACTCAAGTGGTAGAACTCATACAAAATAATGTTATAAATAAAATACCTGGACTATTGATTACTTTGAACAAAGAAATAATATTGCTAGGAGAATGTTCAGATACAAACACAGCAATAACAAACACTGTTGTCTATACAATGAAATGGGTTATCTGGAAAACAAGAAATATAATAAAATATCAAAACAAGAGACAGACACCACTATCTACATTTAAAATGTTTAAACATGTATTATTAGAAAACTTAAAAGTATTTACAAAATCAAACTCAATAAGAGATACAAAATCTACACGTATACTAATTCAGAACTATAAATTATTGCAAGGTATATTAACTAGCACCTAGACATATTGAAGCCTGGTGTTGGTTTTTTTTTGGGGGGGGGGGGCGGAAAAGAAAAATGTTTTTGTTTAATAGATTATACCCTGACTATTATCAACACATACTCTAGAACTATAACGCTAACATGGCACTTTAATTCGCTGAATTGGATGATGTTATACCATACGAAGCATTTCATATACTAATATTTACCATATAATAACGTTGTGCGAATCGAAGTCTGTGCACCATCGTGACTATAACCGGAAATCAGACACTGGATTATAATACAATTTCAATTAGAATAGAGTACGGACAAGAATATCCGGAAGTTTATTTTTTATATCAGAATGTGAATCTTTACTTATTTGTTAATATATAATGTAAGACGAATACTGACACTTGATAGAATATTTTGAACAGTATATACATTATTTAAAGGCGATTCTTGACGCTCATGTACATTGTATGTATATTTATATATATGTTTATGTCATAAAATTTTGAAAATATAATAAAAAAAATAAAAAAAGGAGGAGTTCCGTGGACAAGTATTTCACACAAAGGGGCATAACTCCACCAAAAAGGGTCGGAATCTCAAATTAAAATGCCGATGCACAACTACAAAAGATAACGATCATTCATCCAAAGTTTCAATGAAATCCGCCTGTTAGATGAAATCCGCCTGTTAGATGCAATGCAAATATCTCCTCAAACGTATAGATGTAATACAGATATATCCTCCAATTCTAGGGATCAGGCTGATAAGCTCTCCACTGTATAACCAAGAGGTTTGGGGCCCATGCTTTTGCTTTTGCACAACTACAAAAGATACCGACCATTCATGCAAAGTTTCAATAAAATCCGCCTGTTAGTTAAGGAGAAGTTGCGCGGACAAGCATTTCGTTAAGGAGAATAAAAATCTTTGTTTCAACACAACAAACTTTCCCACTGGAATCAGCGACTGGCACAATATAATAGCAACATCAATAAAAGGTAGCGTGCAGACTACACATCAAACTAAAATGACATACAGAAGCTTCAAACATTTTAACATAGAAAATTTCAATAAAGATCTGGAAACATCACCTCTGCCTACCACCACTGAACAGTCGAAATTATCATCCAAATCAGTAAATGAAATGTATGAAAACTTCGAAAATTCAGTAACCAACACTATAAACAAGCATGCACCAATGAAAACCCAATCAAATCGCAAGAAAAACTTTCCCTGCATGAATCAAAACTTACGGAAAGCTATACACAGAAAACACATGCTATATAACAAATATACTAAAACCCGAAACAACAATTCATGGGAAAAATACAGGATTCAAAGAAACCATGTCAACAAACTAAAGAAATCCTCAATAAACAATTATTTCATGGAAAGATGTACTGGTGGAGCTAAGAACACTGATTTCTGGCCTACAATCAAACCATTCCTTTCGAACAAAAACAAACACCAATCTAACATAGTGTTATTGGAAGATGACAGAATTGTTTCTGACAAAACCGAGGTATGCCAAACTTTTAACAACTTTTTTGTAAATGTCGCTAATGATATAGGAGAACACATTGATTTTAACCCAGACACACACGAGAGCATTAACATAATCAAAGAAAACTCAGACCACAATTTGCAATTTAACTTCACCACGGTTCAGGAAGAGGATATTACAAAAATAGTTTCACGTTTAAACATTAAAAAGGCTCCCGGTGTAGATCACATCAGCGCAAAACTCATCAGAGCAGGACAACACTCCCTTACCCCTCATATAACCAAACTCATCAACACAACCATCACTTCTGGAATTTTCCCCGACAATTTAAAGCGTGCCCAAGTCCAACCCATTTACAAGAAAAAAGACAGACTAGATAAAGGTAACTATCGCCCAGTCAGCATACTACCATCCATATCCAAGATCTATGAACGAACACTTTTTGACCAACTCAGCAAATTTTTCGACCATATTTTTGACAACTTTCTCTGTGCTTTTAGGAAAGGATATGGATGCCAAACCGTACTTTTAAGAATTATTGAAGACTGGAATTTTTTTTTGGATGATAACAAATATGTAGCTGCTATTCTGATGGATTTATCTAAAGCATTTGATTGTCTCCCACATGAAATTCTTCTTGCCAAATTATCAGCCTATGGAGTTTCGGAACATTCATCAAACCTAGTAGAAAATTATCTTACCAACAGAACACAAAGAATCAAGATTCAAGACTCTTTTAGCAGCTGGAGTAATATCATAAAGGGGGTACCCCAAGGCTCAATCTTAGGCCCACTTCTTTTTAACGTATTTGTTAATGACATCTTCCTCGCTGTAAAACACTGTCAACTATACAACTATGCTGATGAAAATACCCTGTCACACTCATCTACAAACTTAGAAAAACTGACATCCGCACTTGAAGAAGACACCAAAAATCTCATACACGCGTTCGATATAAATAAAATGAAAGCAAACCCTGACAAATTCCAAGCACTTGCAATAGGTAAAAAAAGACCTGGTCAAAAAAAAATTCTTTCCAAATAGATGATATTTCGATCCCATGTGAAGAAAGTGTAAAACTACTAGGTGTTGACATTGACTTTAAGCTCTCTTTCGATCTCCACATCAAAACTATATGTAGAAAAGCCTCACAACAACTAAATGTACTCTACAGAATTAGAAAACACCTGAACAGACTAAATAGACTCACAATCTTCCACACCTTCATACTATCACACTTTAATTTTTGCCCACTCTCCTGGCACTTCTGTTCGGAAATAAATGTTAAAAAATTGAGAAAATTCAGTATAGGGCACTCAGATTTATTTATGATGACTTCTCAAGCAACTACGGTGAACTTTTGGCCCGGGCAAAGATACCTACTTTGAAAATTAGAAGAATGAGGCAACTGGCTATAGAAACCTACAAAATCATACACAAAACAACATCGCCATGTCTCCACAACATTGTCACACCCAAGTCTCAAAATTACAGCTTCAGATATACAAACATTTTGGACATCCCACATGTTAAGACTACTACATACGGTATAAAATCCTTCAAATATGCAGCAGCCTGTCTTTGGAATAATCTTCCTGAAAACTTTAGGACCACAACAAATTACGGCCACTTTAAATCTTTAATATCCTCCTGGAACGGAACCAAATGTAAATGTGCAGCCTGCAAATAATAAATATCTCACCTTACTCTAACCTCATTTTCTCTTTATCCAGCCTACAGTGCCTCCATTGAGAACTTTTAACTTCAAAGCCTTGTTTTAACTTAATTTATCTTAATTCAATTTATTTGATATATGGTATATGGACTTTGAGTGTTGTGAAACACTAAACCTATTATCAAAGTAATATATAAACAATATGTGTGTGATATAAGTAAATGATGTCTTAATGTATTGTATTTTATGTACCATGTATCTGTATGTGTATATGTATATGTCGGTCAAAAGCTCTTCAGAGCTTATGTTATTTTGTTATATACCCACCGACTCTAAATAAAATTTATCTTATCTTATCTTATCTTATCTTAGTTAAGGAGAAGTTGCGCGGACAAGTATTTCGCACAAAGGTTTATAACTCCATCAAAAAGAGTCGAAATCCCAAATGAAAATGCCGGTGCACAACTACAAAAGATACCGATCATTCATGCAAAGTTTCAATGAAATCCGCCTGTTTGTTAAGGAGGAGTTGCGTGGACAAGTATTTCACACAAAGGGGCATAACTCCATCAAAAAGGGTCGAAATCCCAAATTAAAATACAGGTCCACAACTACACAAGATACCGATCATTCATACAATGTTTCAATGAAATCCACCTGTTAGTCAAGGAGGAGTTGCGCGGACAAGTATTTCGCACAAAGGGGCATAACTCAATCAAAGAGGGTCGAAATCCCAAATTAAAATGCCGGTGCACAACTAAAAAAGATAACGATCATTCATGCAAAGTTTCAATGAAATCCACCTGTTAGTTAAGGATGAGTTTTCCGGACAAGTTACTGTGGACGACAGACAGACAGACAGACAGACAGGGTGATTCCAGTATAGCCCAAGTTGAGAGTTGGTATTCGAGGTTCGGGAATGTGAGCCTCTGGAGAGAGAAGCAAGGGAAGGCCTCGGTCGGAGCTAGGGGCCAGGGATGGCGCGGGTAGAGAACTTGGTGTGTTTTAAACTACCTGTTTGATGTTGTAACTCTATATCATCTGGATGCTTGTAAATTTGCTGTTGTGTTCCAGAACTATGTTAAAAGGGACATTTACTTAATTTTGGAGATCTTGCAGAGAGAGAGAGAGCCTACTCCAAGATAGGGGTATAGTCTCTGATTTTACAATGACTGGTTAAACGTTTTCACTACATGACTATTCCTCGTCCTCACTTGACGTCATAAAGTTATTGTAGACGCTAGATACGGACACGCCTATACTATTCAGGATTGGGGAGTAATCCGATTCCGGCCAAAGCTTTTTTAATATTGATTCCTTCAGTTTGAATCGCTAATGGTTTCTGCTTCATGATTAAACAAATTCTTAAATCATTTGCAGAAAACTTTAAGAAGTTGCAGTTGTTTCATTTTGGCTGACTGGCTGGTCCAGCACAATCCTTTTCGCTGATTGGTTGGTTTCAGCTCAATTATTAGCTCAATTCTTTTAGCTGACTGGCTGGTTTCAGTAATATCCTGTAAGCTGACTGGCTGGTTTCAGCCATAACCTATAGGCTAACTGCCTGGTTTAAGCCCAATCCTGTAGGCTGACTGGCTGGATACAGCTCGATTCTGTAGGCTGACTGGCTGGATACAGCTCGATCCTGTAGGCTGACTGGCTGGTTTCAGCCCTATCCTATAGGATGACTGTCTAGTTTCAGTCCTATCCTGTAGGCGGAATGGCTGGTTTCAGGCCTATACTGTAGGCGGCATGGCTGGTTTTAGCCCTTCTGGCTGGGTTCAGCCCTATCCTGTTGGTTGACTGGCTGGTTCCAGTTCTATCTTGTAAGCTGAATTGTTTGTTAAAACTCTAACCTGTAAGCTAAATGGCTGTATTCAGCCCTATCATGAAGGCGGAATGGCTGGTTTCAGCCCTTTCCTGTAGGCGGCATGGCTGGTTTAAGCCTTATCCTGTAGGCTGACTGGCTGGTTTCAGCTCTATCTTGTAAGCTGAATTGCTTGTTACAACTCTTTCCTCTAAGCTGAATGGCTGGTTTCAGTTATATCCTGTAGACGGAATGGCTGATATCAGCCCTATCATGTAGGCCGACTGGCTGGTTTCAGGC